TTTTCCCAAACCACCCCCCCCCCCCCCCCCCCAGGGGTAAGAACCTCCCCCTCCTCACGGTATGAGTTGCTGGAACCATCATTCTGAATACAGTCCCCCATGATTAAAATAGATTAATAAAATGAGCTGCAATGCTGCCATCTAGTGGTTTACTTTAATATATATATACAGCCGTTTTCCCCAAAACCATTTTTAGGTCAAACCCAGGTGTTGTGTTATTAGCTGTTGTTAGCATCAAACATTCTTCTGTTGTCAAGCTGTTGAGGATGTGCAGTTTATTCTTTTACTTTTATTTTTATCCCATGTATTTGTTCCAGGAAATGAATCGTTTGAATGAAATTATAAAGTTCCACTTTTTACAAACTCATGTCTCACTGTGAGAGTTAGCTGCTCTGAAGTGGTTAAAAAGACTGAGCTGCTGCTCACTGACAGTTGTCTGTTGTTGTTGTCTGTTGTTGTCAGGTGTTGGCCAGAAACCTGTACAGTGTTGACCTGAACGAGCTGCCGCTGGAAAAACTCAGTGAACAGAAGCAGAAGAAACACAAAGGCAAAGGTTTGTCCCAGTCACAGACTGCTGCTGTGAATCACGTGCGTCAAACATGAGGCCCGCGGACCAAATGCGGCCTGTCGTTCTTGTGTGGCCCGCGGGAACCTCTGCTGCTGAGTTTCTAAACCGGGAAAATTGATCTAAAAAAGAAGTTGTCAACTTTTGCGTGAGAAAAATCAGAAAAGTTTTAATAACAAGAATTACACTTACTTGTGCCGCAGGAATCGGTTCCGAGGGCCAGCGGCAGGTTGTGGATCGTTCCTTTTCTAAAGGCTGGAGCAGAGATCAACCAGGTCAAGCTGCAGCCATGAGGCAGCGCAGCGCCACCACCGCCGGTTCTCCAGGCATCGAAAAGGCCCGCAGTATCGTCCGACAGAAGACCGTAGGTCAGTAGTCTCCGTCTGATTGGTTCACCGTCGGTGGATGAGGACAAAAGGAGAAAAGAGTCATTACCTTCAGGACAGGTCAAGTTTGGTTGACCTTTAACACCAGACTCTCTCAGTCTGGTCTTCTGTTACTGGTGTAGTTCAGAGGAGACTGGACTGTGTTTAGGTCCATAGGACAGTGACCCCCGTGTCCTGACACACCTGTGTAAACTAGAAGATTAGTATCTTTAATGACATAGGTGTCTTGTTAGATTTCTGTTTGGTGGTGTGAGGTTTTCCTGATGATGTATATTTGCCCTGGTTGGGAAACACGCAGGAAACATGAGGGTCATTCAGGTCTCATTGGAAATGTTGAGAAAACTACTCATCAGAAATAGGACTGCATTAGAAGGGTTGAACTTACATTGTTGTGATATATCACCACAGTCAGCAGGGGGCGGTCTAAGCGCCCGGGGAGCAGTGAGTGGGGACGGTGCCGTGCCACCACTGCCCCCATCCTATCTCTACATCAGTGGTTAATTAAATAATGTTGACAAGAAAATCATTTATATGCAACAATTTGTCGTTGTTAATAAATCGTCCAGCAGAGGTCGCCATGGTCCCAGGGCTGATGTCAACTGTTGTTGATATTAATGTATTATTTATCTTGGACACAGACACAGACAGTTATGTTGAAGAGTAGATGAGTCTTGGTCTCAGAGCTAACTCAGGGTCGATCCTCCTCCTGTTTCTCCTCCTTCTTCCCCTCTTCCTCCTCCTCCTCCTCTTCCTCCTGTTTCTCCTCCTTCTTCCCCTCTTCCTCCTCCTCCTCCTCCTCTTCCTCCTGTTTCTCCTCCTTCTTCTTCCCCCTCTTCCTCCTCCTCTTCCTCCTCTTCCTCCTCCTCCTCCTCTTCCTCCTGTTTCTCCTCCTTCTTCTTCCTCCTCTTCCTCCTCTTCCTCCTCCTCCTCCTCCTCCTGTTTCTCCTCCTTCTTCTTCCCCTTCTTCTTCCCCTCTTCCTCCTCCTCCTGTTTCTCCTCCTTCTTCTTCCCCTTCTTCTTCCCCTCTTCCTCCTCCTCCTTCTTCTTCCTCCTCTTCCTCCTCCTCCTCCTCCTCTTCCTCCTGTTTCTCCTCCTTCTTCTTCCCCTCTTCCTCCTCCTCCTCCTCTTCCTCCTCCTCCTCTTTCTCCTCTCCTCCTCCTCCTCCTCCGTCCTCCTGGTTGTTTTTCCTTCCAGTCCTTTCACCTTTTCATTTTTTTCCAAACATGTCCAAACCTCTTTGCCTCTGACAGGTAGATTGAGATCAGTCCTGTGTTTTTACAGTGTCCTCCTGGCACCTCCTGTGCTCCTCACAGCTCCGTACTCTGTCACCTCCTCACTGCTCCTCACTGCTCCCTCTGTGTTTCACTCTTTTACCCTGGGACCTTTGTCTTCTATCTCTTTCCTCCGGTTCTTCAGCCCTTCGTAGCTGTTCTACGGGGGACTCTCTGCTGTCCTCAGCCTTTATCCGCAGCGCTAAGAGTGCTCCTACTCTGGCTCCGCCTCTTCCTGTTCTCCACCACCACCACCCTTTACTACCCCCCCTTGCTGACCAGCTGGCAGGTACACACTCTCTGCACCACCTGCCTGCCTGGACTCTAAAGTCAGAAAGTGAACGCTCATGTCTGCCCCCTGTGTTTGATTTACTGCAGCTGCATGAAGCTAGGGGGCAGTAAACCTCATGTGGAAACAACAAGTTGTTGTTTACAACACTCCATATTTATAAACAGTTGTTTGTTTTTTATTATTTTGTCATTTTTCTTGTAAGATGCAGATGAAACAGTAGGGATGTAACGATACGATAACGATACTGTAACGATACCGTAACGATACGGTCGACTGACGATATAAAAATGATTTATGGTTGAGTTTTATTCCACAAAACTGAACGTCTCTTAGCCTACGTCTGGGTTTGATGGTGGGTTTTTAGGAGCATACTGCCACCTACTGGACTAGAATGTGTAGTGTCATGGTCTGACCAGTGACTCCTTCCACTTTGATGGACCAGTCAGTTTTTATTTCAACCAATAAGAATTGTCCAGCAGTTGTCAAGATCATCGTTACCTCCCTACATGTCAGTGTTTCCTCACCTTCTGATTAAAACAACAGCAGCAGTTTGTGTGGACTGAGGAAGTGATGTCACACGTTGGTCGGTGTCTATGACGAATTTTCTTTTAGTTAATGAAGAAAAGTCGTTTGTTCTGCATCTTCACTGTCTGTCTGTGATGCTGTCTGTCTGTCTGTCTGTCTGTCTGTGGTGCTGTCTGTCTGTCTGTGGTGCTGTCTGTCTGTCTGTGGTGCTGTCTGTGCAGCTCTACTCCGACTCTTCATCTGTTGTTTTTGTTTTGATTTTGTTTTATTTTAAATATTCAATTTTAAATAATGTTTTGACTAAAAGTTAACGTTTATTTAACATAAATCTCTCTAACCTTTGTTTTTGTTGTCAGACCTGGAGGACCCACCAATCACGCTCACATCCAGGATGCGTCATTCCTCTCAGAGCGACGAGGCTCCTCCCACTTCCTGTTCGGAGGTGTTCCAGGCTGGGATGTGTGACCTCGACGCCCCGCCCCCCGGCTCGCTCGCTAGAAGTAGCAGCGCATCCGACGTCATGGAGCCCTTCATCGCCGAAAGGGTCAAAGGTGAAGACCCTGAGCGGGATCCTACCTCGATCCCTAACCACCAGCACCACAACCACTCCTCCACTGCTGCACTGGCTCAGATAGGTCCTCCCCCTCTCCACCCCCCCTCTTCCACTCCTTGTTCCCTTGTAAACGGTGTTGTTTCCTTGACCTTAGAAGGACAGGATGAGGGTAGCTCACAGGAACACTTCTGGACCCAGCTGAGCTCCAGGAGCCGGGTCTCCAGCTCCGATTGGGTAAGCAGCTGGGATTCGGCCTTCGCCTTTTCTTCTGAAACGGACGCCGAAGAAAACCAAGTAGGAGGAGGCGTAGAGGAGGACGATTTGTTCTCCTCCATCAGGGACTACTTCATTAACAAAGGAGGGGAGAAGAAGGAGGAGTCGGAGGCCGACGGCGTCTGTCAGACGGCACCTGCACGGACCGACGCGGTCGGAGCGCTGACCGACCCGCCGCTGCAGGGGGCGAGGGGGGGGGAGGAGCGGCAGGGCAGTAAGTCGGTCCGACACAGCAGCGTGGACTCGGCAGAGGAGAGTGAGGCGGAGCAGCGCAGCATCTACGAGTGCCTGGAGCTGCAGTGCCAGTGGCCGACCTCCAGCGCCAGAGGAAGTGCTAGCCTGGAGAGAAGTGCTGGGGATAAAACGGGGACAGGAAGTTCAGGAAGGACAGCGGGGCGGGGGGGAGAAAGTGACGTCTGTAGTGACGACAAACAGGAAGGAAGAATCTCAGGAGACGAAGGATCGGTTTTAATTAGAGCCGAGGTCAGGGCCGAGGTCAGGGCCGAGGTCAGGGCCGAGGTCAGGGCCTCAGACGGTAGTCAGGAATCGAACGCACCTGCCCTCACTACTGATCAAACAAAGGCCAAGATGTCCCGCAGTACCAGCAAACGCCACCATTCTGGGGGGGTTCACGTCAGCTTCCGACCCTCCACGGAGTCGGTCCAGTTCCACAACCCCCTCGAGAGTAAAGAGGCCCACTGGAAAGCCCGGCTGCGCCGTCTGAGTCACTTTCACACCCACAGCCACTCGGCCGGTGAGCGGCCGGGGGCCGGGGCCGGAGGTGGGTCAGGGTCAGGGTCAGGGGGCAAACTAGGATCAGGGGCCTCAGGTAAGTTTGTCTCCGCGATCAGCCATAAAGAGAAGTCACCCTGTGGGACAGTGTCGGACGGCAGGACCGGGAGCGCGCCTGGTGCGGACAACAGAGCCGGGCCTGGAGGAGATCTGGACAGAGCCGGAGCCGGGTCGCAGCCCCACCCCGAGGCCACGCCCAGTACTTCAGGTCCCTCGGCCGTGTCGGCGGGCGTGCGCGGTCGCTTGGGCCGTTCGGCCTTGCGCTCTCGAGCCTCCCGCTCTCGCTCCCAGGAACCCGGCAGCACCTCCGCTCGTCACCACCAGGGGGCCCTCCTCGGTGGCGTCTATAAGACTGTGGTTCACGCGCTGTCCTCCAGACCCCGGCCCCGAGGTCAGGGCTCGTCCCAGGGCTCATCACCGCAGCGGCAGAGCCGCGCTGCCATGGGTGATGCTTCGCTCAGAGATCTCTACTCACATGTCCTGGGCTACTTTGGGCGAAAGACAAGCACGGCAGGTGAGGATCGCAACGAACCGAGCTCTAATAACGGACAGAGCAGATGGAGAGACAAATACTCACAGAACAGAAACATCAGCAACTTCCTTTTCTTTTTGGCTGTTTTAACTGGTTTGTTGTGATGGAATGATTTTTTTTTTTTTTTTTTGGTTTGGCTGACACTCATCATCTTGCTGCTGGACTGAAACTCAACTGCCTGTTGATGCGTTTCCTCTTGAAAGTTGCCCCCTCTTCATCCTGCCTCCTGTCAAGGATGGGCCCCCCCCCCCCCCCCCCCTGGTTTTGGGAAGCCTCCCCAACCCCCCTCCCCCCCCCCCTTTCTA